TGTTGTTGTTGTTGTTGTTGTTCAAGGTGCTAAAACCATGCGCAAAGAACGTGGGACAGGACGAGGAAGATCTCGAAGACGCGGGGCAGGCCGATGCAGGACGCCGCTGGCGATTCTTATGTCCATGTGGTCTGCATGTGGTTGACTGTGTTTGGGGTTCGGGTGAGCTCGCCGAGGCTGTCATGTTGAGCTTCCGGCAGCAGCATCGGACGTGAATGTAGAGTTCATGGTCAAAATTGTGGGATGAACAGTGGATGGCGTGGGGGGGGATCCCAAATTTCCAACAAGAGCCAGGACTTCCCAAGCATGATACCAGTACTGTACCAGGTTTTGCCCTAAGCCCCACACAGGCCTACGCTGGCCCATATGCCTTAGACATCTGAACCCTCACTCGCAAAGCCTTCGTCCCCTGCCTACTTCAAGACCACCAGATGCCATTGCAAATTTTGACTTCGGATAGGAGATGATGCGCCCCCAGAGAGCTGGGAGGAACGAGAAGAGGAGCTGCAGCAGGGCTGCTGTCCAGGATGCCAAGCTACATGAGCCTCACCTCGGCTTCGTGTGGCTTGAAGGATGTTTCCTTGAGGTTGATAGTATACAAAAAGGTTGGTGAGAAGTGGGTACCTTGTTGTGATGTCTAGTTGCAACTGACTTTCGCCCTAAGAAGCCCATTTCGAGCCACCGACGGAAAGCCGACATGGGCCCCGAGCCAAGACCCTAAAGGAAGACGCGAACCCTCCGGGTGCTCAAAAGTCCCGCATTTAATTAGTGAAGTGGCTGCAGTCCTCCGTGAATGAACTTGGTGCGTCTTTGGGATCCAATTGGCCTTGTGTTTGGTAGGCTCTGCTTTTAGGGTCGCGCAGTATCTGTTGGGAGAGATCGTCCTAGGCGATTGGGGGCTTCTGTTGCTTTGCTAGCCTTTCTCTCGGTAGTTGACAACCCCCAACTGTTATCTACAGTCTGTTTGAGTAAATCCCGAGCCCCGCTGAATCATTTACAGGCTCCGCCTTTGGGGAGATGTGACGGATCGTGGGTGCATTGGTGCTCTGCAGATGATGTGCTGCCTCTCGACCTCTATCTTAGGCTCGACAAGCAACCTTGCCGAAATCCGCCATTGGCCTTTAATCTTACTGCCCCTCCCGACCTCTGGCTAACAAACCACTAACCCGCGATAGTGGCCGCCACGGCCCACTGCTGCCGCCAGTGATTCTGAACACGGGACTTGAGGTGTATGGGCTCTGGCATTTTCTGACTGAGCTGGACACGAATAGTGCAGCCTATGTGGCAGTACACCTTTTGGCCCTTATTGAGGCACTGAGGCAGCTGCAGGAAGTGGATGCAGAACCACTGGTCCGAGAGTACTGGGATCACTGGGATCACTTGGGGCGAGTCTGTGAAGCCAAGTACAAACCAATTCGGCTCAGTGAAGTGGCAGAAGATGAGAGGATGCTGCAAGAGATCGTGTGCGGACTTTCGCAAAGACTCCGCTTGCGCACATGGTTTCTTCTAGCAGATGCAAGACTACGTAGCGGTGACGACTACCTCCGTGGCTCGCGTCTGGATTTGCATGACATGGGACCTCTGTAAGCCTCGCGGTTGGCTGAGTCTGAGGTGACCTGTGTGAGTGCAAGCTGGGGCTAACAGAATGCGCACAGTCGTTGCGGACATTGGCGGCTGTGGACATGCAACAACGCCCATGGGGTAAGATGTTGCCGCGCCACGACATGAGGCTGAAGGCAGACTGCAAGCGAATTCGAGAATTCATTGAATTTGGAGTTCAAGGAATTCTTGAATTTGCGAATGAGACATGGTGACACTACTGCATGAACACTTTGCATGTCACGCAAGAGAGGGCACCTCTATCACGGGAGGGGGCTGAGCAGAGCGAGGTCCATGTGAGTGTATCTGCGGCAGCATGGTGTTACGAGACCAATTGAGTGAGCAAACCGTATTCAATGCATGAAGCTCTGTATGCATGACGTCTGGGAAACTGCCTGGGCTCTTTGAGATTCGTGCGTTCTTTTGAAACAGCGAGCATCTGCTCGAACTACGCAGGAGAGCTTGACGAACCGTGTTCTTGTTGGTGAATTGCTATCGCTTGTTGTTATTGTCGTTGCTACATCTTTAGACGATTCGGTTGTCAAGCATCCTGAATGTAGCGTAGTGAAGTGGAGACAGAACCATGCGGAGCCTTGCCAGCCTTGTGCGAGTGTGAGAATCGAAAGGAAGACGAAGCCTCGAAGCCACCAATATCGCTACTTGTAGCACAAATCGAGGATGGGCAACATGAAACTTGTACACAGGGCTTTCTGAACTGGCCCCATGTGATTGTCCCAAATGACGGACCCAGAAATCTCATTGCCGAATCTTACTTGTACCACGCACTCTGAAACCCTAAATCCCCAAAACATGTGAGCCCCAAACCATCAGCGGCATTGAGTAGCAGAGCTTAAAAAAAGGAGTAGGAGTTCACTGCAACAAAAAGAGCCAAACACCAGAACCCCACAGAAGCTGTGAGAAGCGCTGTCGCCGGCCGTTTCGGCCCCTAGCCGCCCTGAGGGAAGGGCGCCCGGGTAGCCTTTTCTTTTTACGACAGCCTGGCCCGCCCTCCGTGCAGGCACGACATATGACGATGATGCTTATTATGATGATGGGCTGGATTGTTTATATAGTCTGCTGATGGCGACAGGGGTGCTCAGAAGAAACTGATCATGATATCGATGCTGAAAAAGGTGGCGATGATCGTGATGACCATAAGCATGAAATCTGGTGAATACACTGTCTTCATGTTTTGTGCAGTTGGTCGCCATGTGGTGAATCTAGATGCTGTGTTGAGGGTCATAGTGCTGGCACAAGGGCCATCACATCGGTCTCACCTACACGAGTCTTGCTGCGAGGTGAGCGAAATGTCGGTTCAGGAGGCAAACGGAGCGCTGGAGCTAGCGTGCGGAGCTCAGGGCAGATCCGTTGGCATCCGGCTTTGTGCAAGTAGCCGCTCCATTTCTGGGGTTCGTCATGCTAAGGATCCCGTGAGTTTTCTTTGGGGCCCCTCATTTCTTAATTCTGAAACTGCTGCTCTCTCTCTCTCTCTCTCTCTCTCTCTCTCTCTAAGCCATTACGCAGGCTTCGTGTGGCAGGGCTTGATTTTAGAATTTGTTTTTATTCCAAGATTAAAGTCATGATAGCTCCGAAAATGGACTTCCATGACCCTGCACACGGATAACGCCACAAGAGTCGGCTGAGACCACGAGTCCCGAAGCCAAGGCACTCCCTGCAGGTGGAAACAACAGTTCAAGCAAACATGAGAAGTCCTTGCGATCCGGCGTGTCCTTGGGTCCCAACTCACAAGATGCCTCGAATAGAACCCATTGCTGGGCCCTAGCCCAAACAACTTCCGCATGCCCATGTGGTGCAGAGTGCTATGAGGTTCAACGGCCTTGCAGACTATTACAGATGCTCGGCCCTGAAATTTCAGCAAGCCTGTTGCCGCAAGGATCTTTGATGCTTTTTCTTCGGGCCCTTCCTTCAGGCTTGGGGCCTAAAATCCGAAACCCGAACTACCCACGAGATCCAAAGCCTAATCACTGCGGATGATGCGCATCGTTATTGGCCTCCTAGACCTCTGTGGATCCTACACAACAAAATGCCGATACAACAAGCCCTAATCGTTCGAGATGGGCAGCTCTGGCATGTCGGGTTCCGCCGATGAACCAGCCGTAGCTCCTGCCAGTTCGGAAGCCGGACGAATGGACTACAATTGGCTACTGGAATTTAAACTAGCAGTATCGTCAGAAATGACAAGCAAAGTTGCCTGAAGCCAGCAGACTTCTATACCCAAGATAGGGGCAGCACCTGAAACTGGGGAGGGCTGATCTGAAAAGGCGAGCTGGCAGCGAATCCGAAGGCTGCCCCCAAAGAGAAGGAAGGCTGTTTGGCCTTCGTCGCGGCAGAAGGGAGGCTAGACAAGGAGGACCGGTACCCGGTACCCGGCGTCTTCGGGTCTGTAACGGTTCAGGGTTCAGGGTCTGGAGTTTAGGCAGTAGGATTTCAGGCTTAGGCTTCCGGGGGCTCGTTGTTCCTATCGCCGGCACTGAAGTTTCTCAAGGTTTCGGAGTATTTGGCGCCTGTGAAACCCTAGCAGACCTGGGAAAAAGCCCCCCTTTGCTGCAAGGCCCCAAACAGCAAATACCCTTAAACCTAAAATCGAAAAGCCGAAGCACCGGAAGGATGTCGATGGGTGCATGACTCATTCAAAAGAAGCCTTGGAGAAGTTCAAGGCTTGTTTCCAGTGTGCACTGGGCTTTTGCAGTCCATGGATTCACTTCAGGAGTTGGTTCACGGCTTTGCGCCTTATTAAACCGACCCCCAAATGCAAAACCCCTAAACATAGCGACCTCATCTGGCTGTGCGGAGTTGTGAGTTCATGAACCCCTAAACTTCAGGTTCGGGTTTGTGCTCAGGGAGTGCATGTCTCGGTGTCAAGTTTCGAGTGTCGGCTTGGGGGTTCAGAGCCTAAGCATCGAAACCGAACATCTTGAATTTCAAAACTCCTGAAGCCGTAGCCCTACGCGGTGCTGGGCTTGAAGTGCTTCAAATCAATGCAACAGCTGAGAAGGCCAAGAATGCAAGTGACACGCCAGGGTTTGAGGGTTGCTGAAGTGGTAGCCCGCGCGAGAGTGCAGCACAGTCCCTCGATGCCAAAAATACCAAAGCCCGAAATCCAAACGAAATCCTAAGCTGAATCTAGAACTTTATTTCGCCGTTGTTCTCCGAGTCTGAGTGCCCTTCAGCGGCCGAACCCCCGAAAGCCTTACTGTAGGCCCGAAGCCCGTCTCACCCCTAAGTTTCCTCAAATTCCTAAGTTGGCTGCTCTGCAGGTGTCCTTGATTCCGCTTTGTTTTTCACGGAAAGCCAGGGAAAGCAACGATTTTCTGGGTCAGGGGTTACGGATTGAGGGGCTGGTGTTGGGTTCTGTAGTCTGTAGACCCACCAAAAGCAACATGGAGCAGGTTTCCCTTTAGGAGACATCGTCATCGCTGTCCCATTAGCATTTTTTGAACACTCTGTTTCGTCCTTTCTGCTTGTTAGCGAGCAAAAGGAAAAATGCTCGGAAGCCGCCACATTGGGCACTTGCCCTGTGTCAGGCATGCAAACATCCCACGGGTGTCGCTGATACTTTGAGCACCTGGGCCGAGCTACGACGGGCTCGCATTCTGGCCTTCCGTGGGGTTCCGGAGTGTGACGCTCTCTGTTCCCGGCCGTCTTGCACCAATTTAGATGTTTCAGATCAAAATGCACGAAATCCTGCAGGATTGTCGGCTGGACCTGTAAGGCACGACCATTACCACGGGCAGCACGTGTACCGCGAACGGGCTGCTAAACCTCTCTGTCCTGTAAAAGCCCCGGCAGCTGACTTTGAAGGGAGCCTTCGTTGTCCCCACGCAATGATTGGAGCCGGGTCCAGCCTGTTGCGTCCAGTTTGAAACATTCAGCCCGCCCGTGGCCTCATCTGCCGCCAGCCAAGGAATGATGGTCTTAGCGTATCGCATTCAGGCAGATGTGCTGCGGAGTGCGGAGGAAGACAAGACCAAGGATATCAAGGTGCCCGTTTTGGTGAACAGTAGTCGTCATTGTCAGCTGGAGCTGATGGTGTTGATTGTGGGGGCAACCGGTCGTCGTGCTGGTGCTTCTGGTGGGACTGCTGTTGCGGCTGTTCGTAGCGGTGGTGGCTGCTGCTAGTGTCGGTGATTGCCCTTCGCGAAAATCATGATGCTGGCAGTGATAGCAACACAGACTGCCATGGCGCTCAACAGGCGAAAGCATTTGATTGAGTTCTGTTTATATGCATTCGCTGACTCGTAGCTGGCACTCGAAAACTCCTGCGACCAGTACTTTTCGGCGGAGTCTACGAGCCCGGTGGCCCTCGGACCAGGCGGCTCTTAGCACGGCCGAGTCCTTGGCTAAAGAAGAGGCAGCAAAGTTCAAGGAGGCGCGGTCTTTTCTTTTGCTCCGAGCACAGATTCAGGACCTAGCCGGCCACAGAGTAGTTTGCCTAGTTTGGATGCATAAACGGTGCATGGTGCCTTCTCTTGATTCTTTTTTATACGGGTCATATAAGCCCAACCTTACGACCCCGATATAGATTACAGGATGTTCCTTTCATGTATCCTCCTGCTTTGGTTGGAGCAGTGTGAAGCGACAGCATCCCGCTGATGTGAGATTTTCGGAGCTGGAACCCTTAGCTGTCTAACCGCAGGCTGGTGATAAGCGCGGCGAGGCGGTGATGCCTCTTTGCTGATGGGAAAGGAACATTCCAAATACATCCGGCTTCAGGAAGAGTCATCGTAGCAAGCAGCGTCTCAGGACTGATTGCTGTTCGAGCCCTTGCCTCAAGAACTCCTCGAGTCTCATGTCATCAAGCCCCAGAATCTTCAACACTGGACTCTGTGGATCCTGAACTCCCAAAGGCCCTGAACCCCCAAGCCCCGAAATCCCGAAAGCGTTCCGTACCAGGAACCTCGCCCAGGCATGTCCGAGTGTGTGTGCTGAAACCGTTCCGATGATCGCCAGTATTTCAGGAGGCTGCCGAACACTTCCCCACCACGAACTGCCGGGCATCATAAATAAACATATATATATATATATATATATATACACATACATACATACACATACACACATACACAGATCTGTGTGTATCTCTGTGTATATATATATATATAGAGATATGTACATATTTAATATATTTATATTTATATTTATATTTATATTTATATTTATATATATATATATATATTTGTGTGGGGGGTTCATTGTTTAGCATATATGTATATATACACACTTCTATATATATATATATACATATATATATATATATATATATCAGACGTTGTTGTTCACTAGGGTTTCTGTCAACCAGAAGCCGAGGCTTGACGTCCAATCTCTGGCCATAGCGCCCTCCCCCAGTGGTACCACTGTCTAACTTGACCTCGGACGCTAAGCGCTACACCTTGGATTGTGAGGCAGGCCAGCGGAGAGAGATGAGTGAGAGAAAGAGCCGCTACACCATAACCTTACACCACAAAACCTTGGAACCCAAAACTCCGAGGCTTTCGTTGGGGATTCAGGTCAGCGCTGTAGCTTTTAGGCATTCGAAGAAGAATTCACGTGCACTTTTTGTAGCACTATGGTTACTATAGTGTTAGGACTACGACGCCAATCCCGGCAACGCTACGCCACCCTTCACCTTGAGCGCTGCTCAAGACTTGCATCCCAACCCAGGCTTCTGGCCGCTGGCGAGATCAACTACAACAAGCGAGGTTTCCTTTGGCGCTTCGAGCTTAGGGTTTGCTTCGGATTCAGGGTAGAAGCCTTAGCCCTAAAAGCCTTGAACAATCGGTTCAGCCTCACAGGCCCCACCGGTGTGCCCAAAGCCAAGCCCTAATACCCGAGCCCGCGCGCCAAAGTTCAGGCTGTGGGACTGTCATGGGATGGCAAACCGCAGATCCCGAGCCCTTCAAAAGAAAGCCAAAGCCAAGCACAAGAGCTTCTCAAACTCAACCCACCAAAAAGTACAGGCTTGTATCCATCCTTGGGGGGGCAGGAGGGTTCAAGGTGGTCATGGTTTAGGACCTCCAAAGATGGCGGGAGCTTCTTCAACCCTGCGCACAGGCGGCAAAAAGCGTGGCGAAGCCATCGAGGAGCGTCCCTTTCTATCAGGGAGTTTCCGAAATATGGGGTACCTTATTTATTGGGGTCCTTATAATGAGAATCCTACTCTTTAGGGTGCTATATGAGGGTCCCCTATTTTCGGAAGCCCCCATGAAATCCTGAAGCCTGCATTCCTGTCAAGCTACACCTACATGTCGATGAGCATCGAGCTCTCAGGTCTTAGGGTGAAGGTCAGGGCTTTCATGGCATGACGTGGTCCGCAAGCTCTGGAGCACACATCTGCACTGAAAAGCTTATTCTGCTGGTCCTGCACAAAAACGTCCTAGACTTGGCTCTTGTGCAGCCTTCCGTCGTACGCAGGAGACTCCATCTTGTCTTGCCTTGCTCATGGCAGCATCGCTTGGAATGACGGGAATCGCGGTGCTGCACGTAGCTCCAGCGGAATGAAGACTGAAATCCGAGGCTTTGGGCGTAAGGGCCCAGCTCTTAACCAGAATGCATTCGGTTCGAGGGTCGTCCGGAACCTTTAAGTTGCAAACATGGCCTTATGCAACCGAACTTCGAAGTGTCCTTAACCTGAAGAGCCCTAAGCCTGCACACCGTCAGAGCCCCAAGCCCAAACTAAATCCTTGCAGCCGAAGCCCGAAACTCTGTCCACTCCTCGTCCAGGACTTAAACAAGTCTAAGGAGCTCGCGAAGCAAGCGGGTGACAAGAAGGTCCGGGACATCAGCGGTTTAGGGTCCGGGTTGACAGAGAGGAAAGGAGAGAAGGAAAGTGACAAGTAGTAACTATAAGACTATGAACCCAGCATAGGACACACAGTGCTGGGAGGCCTCTGGTCCCGAAGCTCGTGGGGAAGTCAGTGGTGTTTGAGGCTTCCAGCTTTGAAGACCTCGGAGAACTTTGCAGGTTTCAGATGGACGCCCCAGGTCCAGGTTCTGCAATCTGGAAGCCTGGCTGATAGTTTTGCTGCCCACCTATCGTAGTCGTACCCATGTAGTTGTCGTATGTACAGAACCCCGGACCCTACATGCAGGGCCCGACTCAGCCTTGGACAGGTCGAAGCCACGGCCGTCTTCGTCCAGGCGAATGCCGCGATTAAGCTTCGGATGAACGACGACCTCCGGCTGCGCCATCGGAGTTGTCAGGGGGTTCGGATGCCAGAGGCTGAACATGGGAATACAAAAACTACCTTTGGCTCGCATCGACCAGAGAGTGCATGTCGTTGGTTGAGAGCTCGTAGGATTGTAGGCCTGCAGCAGTGCACTTTCCATGTGCTGCATCAAGAACCCAACTAGATCGCATTTTTGCCCAACGGGTTGCCTGGATTGCCCTCTCCTTGAGAACCTCGAACAGCCATCTCAGTCACGCCTTGGAAGGCAACGATGCCTCGAAGCCTGTTGCCTCGCCCACCCTGATCAAACGATACAGCGTCTTGGTAATTATGAAGTTCCGAACAGCTCAGGACTCCTATATGTTCGCGCAGGAGTCGTACCGGCTATACGAGGAGCTGAGTGGATCGGGGACATCATAGGTGGGTTGAAACCAAGTTCGGCCGTTGTTCGGGAACCTTCGGGCAAAGTGGGATTGCGCTGCCTTCCCTGCTCCATACCTTCATCTAATCATAAACCGTAGCCTTTGCAGGGCTCGTCGTCGTCGTAGTCCAGTAGTAGTCGTAGTAGCCGTCGCAGCAGCAGTAGTAGTACTAGCAGTACCTAGCAATAGGCCTAGCTCGAGCAGTGGCAGTAGCAGCAGCGGGAGTAGTAGGCGTCGTCGTCGTAGTAGTAGCAGGAGCAGCAGTAGTTGTCGTCGTAGTAGTAGCAGTAGTACTACTACTGTTACCACGACCATGACCAGCAATACTGTGTAGTTAGTCAGGGACGGGTGGTACGCGGTAAGTAGCCAGTAAGCAGCAGTAGAAGTAGAAGTAGAAGTAATTAGTAGTAGTAGTAGTAGTAGTAGTAGTAGTAGTAGTAGTATTAGTAGTAGCAGTAGTAGTAGTAGTAGTAGTAGTAGTAGTAGGAGGCATCGCCGACGACGACGACTGCCGGTGCTCTGAGCACATTCACCACCATGTTAGCAGCTCCCACTGCGAATGCTCCCTTTGCGAGCCGTTTCTTATCCTCTCGCAGTTCTTGCTCAAGAATAAGATGATACATGTTTGCCAAGACTGTTTGTGACAGGAAGCCGCGGACAAGAAGGGCAACACGGCTTAAAACTGCAGGCTTGTTCAGGATGTGGGGCTTGGTGCGAGGGTTTGAGTGCGCAGATGGAGAAATTTACGTCTTAGTAGAGTTTAGGCATGACTAAGAAAGCCTATGTAAAAAAAGCATGCTGCTTGGGATCAGGTATTGGTAGGCTAGCAAGGAAGTCACGGGGACCTTTGTGCGCTTATTTGTTCGGGGCCTGTCCCTTGTAGACGTGGCGCTCTTTAGGGCAGGGATGATGTGGAAGGCAGTTCTTGCTACTTCTACTAAAGACCAGTAGATGTTGCAGAAGGCACAGGAAACCATCCTTCGGTTCGCCCGCAACACAACCAAAATTGCGCTTGATGCACCTTTGCAATATATAGGAACCCCAATCCAGAAACTCGTGCATGTAAGCTCCACCAGCCGCATTCCACCCAAGAACAAACCCTAAACCCCAAACCGTACTGCCCCAGCACTCAGGCATGGGCAAGGCTTTGCACATCATGGCCTTGGCCCAGGCACTCGATTTCGCGTCTGGCCGGGTTTCGGGGCTATAGGGGCCCAAAAAAAACACGTTGTGCGAGGAAACAAACAATAGGGTCTCGGCGTGGTGTATGCTGAGCAGGCGCAAGTCGCCAGCTTGTACATCCATAAACAGGTATACAGCAGTACATACATCTGTACATACACCCGTGCCTACATACACTCGCACATGCATATGTGCGCACATACACGCATACGTCCCACGTACCCACCTACTGCACCTAGTTTCTTGCACGCACACATGAAAACATAAGTAAATAGACACAAACACAGATATGTACTGTACATGCGAGTCTCCCACCTGTACACACACTCGCATGCATACATGCATACATGCATACATGCACACATGCACACATGCATACATGCATACATGCACACATACATACATACATACATACATACATACATACATACATACATACATACATACATGCACACATACATACATACATACATGCATACATACATACATGCATACATACATGCAAAAACACAGACACGTGCATACACGCGCGCACACAGAGATGCATATATGAGTCATATATGTATAAATATATATATATATATACACATAGACACATCTGCACAGCATGCACAAGCACATGCACATATACATGCACATATGCATGTGCACATACATACATGCGCACATTCATCGACATGCATACATACATACATGCATGCACATAGACAGACACGTGCCACATACATATGCCTTCATACGCATACCCGTTCATATCAACACATGTTTTAGCTGTGCATACACACATGCAGCCGCAAACATACACATGATATGCAAGCATAGGAACACATAGGTGCGCGTACTTACATACAGGCACGTGTAAAAACATACAAACACATACACCTACACATGCACATGTGCTTGCGCACACACGCACACCGATACACATCTATATATAGATACATTTATATGTTTCGGTGTGTGTGTGTGTGTGCACGTGTATGTTTATGTAGATGTATACATACAGCTATATGTGTATATATTTCTGTCTATATAGAGATAGAGACTTTGACAGACAGAGAGAAAGAGAGAGCGAGCAAGACATCGTATGTTAATTCCACCCAAAGTTTAAAGCAATGACACTACAAACTTGGGGAGCGTATGACCATCTTTCGGTATGTGCTCTATATGTATACATGTATGTATGCATGTATGTATGTATGCATGTATGTACGTATGTATGTATGTATGTATGTATGTATGTCTTCTATGTATGTATGTATGTATGTATGTATGTATGTATGTATGTATGTATGTATGTGTATGTATGTGTTTGTATGTGTATGTATGTGTATGTCTGTATGTCTGTATGTCTGTATGTCTGTATGTCTGTATGTCTGTATGTATGTAATGTATGTATGTATGTATGTATGTATGTATGTATGTATGTATGTATGTATGTATGTACATGTGCATGCATGCATGCATGGATGTATATATGCATGTTTGTGTGTATGCATGTCGTGCCGTGCCATGTCATGTCATGCAATGCGAGTGAGCAAGTACGTATGCCAAGTATGCATGCATGTTTGTAAGCGTGTATGTTGGGATGTAGGTTCACATACATTCGGCATGTGTGTTTTGATTTCCAGAAGGTGGGGCTTTCTTTCTGGAAGGTGCCGCAGAGCTTTGCCAAACGCCTTCTAACAAGGTTCCAGAGCAGAACCCTGAAGCTAGCGAAGGTGCTGGCAGAAGACTTCGATGACGGCGTGAAGACGGCCGAGCAGGCAGTTTGCTCGGGCACGACCGCATTGCCAAACCTATAAACCCTGGACCGCCTCAGCCCTAAACAGACCTCCCACACCTCCTGCATTTGGCAGCATTCGGAGCTTGAAGATTTTGCTTGTCAGCCTACCAGCGGCTGTTGCTTGTATGAATGTGTCATGCTTTTGCATCTGGCATTGCGCATCTTGCCAGTTGCATCCTTGTCATGCCAAGAAGCCTTGTTCTTTTGGGCACCACCTCGCAAGCCGCACATCTCTGACCTTTCTACGCAGTGCACAGCCCATGCGGGGTGAAGGTGCCGGAGAGCGACCTTGAAACACTTGAACTTCGAAAGCTTAAACCCCAACCGCCGCCAAAACACGCAGCGACCTTTTGCTGAGCACCGTTTCCGGTTCTCGGCCTGCAAAGTAGGCGCTGGCCATCTTCCGAGAGATGTCGCTTCGAAAGCTCGAGGCAGCCAGTCTTGTTTTGGTTCCACGACGGGGGGGGAGATGGGGCGGTTGTGTCCTGCCTTCGGTCGGTCTAGTACGTGATGAGGTTAGGGGCTTATGGGTGGGGCGGTTCAGGTGTCAGGTTTGATTTCAGGATTAAGTTTGGGGCTTGCTGGCTGTTTAGTTTAGGGCTTGAGGGATTGAGGTTTGGGTTCAGGTTGAACGTCTAGGAGGTTAGGAGGCGTTTAGGATCTGAGGTTTGGGCTTCAGTGGCCTCCTGCTGACCTTCAGAGTCTGAGTTCACAGCATGGAAGTGCCTTCGCGAAACAGGATTTGGGATTTAGTGCTTCATACTGTTGTTGAGTCTTCGGATAGTGAGTGAGTGCTCCTGCTAAAGTGGTCAAAGTGTTTGTGGCCACGAGTGCTGCCTAACTCGCCTTTGCCGGCAAGACCGCACAGAGGCCTGGATGCAACAAAAAGATTAGGGGTAAGTGGCCTCCCTTAACCTTGGTGATCACTGGTGCAGGCCAAAGCCCGTTCCGAGGTCTCTTGACTTTGCTCAGGATCTTAGGGTTCAGACCTGGAAGCATAAACCCTAAACCCTAAACCCCTAAACCCCAAACCCTAAACTCTGGAAGTCTTCCTTGAATGCCCGGGCTTCAGAGCCCAGGAACCTGTAAACAGACAAATCAAGGCCGTTTGGGGGCACACTCAAAGATCTAGTCTTCTCTACGTTCAACCGCCAAAATCTCCATGACCCTTGCGGAGCTTCTTGTACAGACTCACTCGTCCATCTTGGGAGTCGGAGCACAACTCTCATCTTGTACGCTCTACGGCCTTCATTGCCGATAGCCGAGTTCCTCCTGAAAGTCGGTTTCTCGATGCTAAAATTGAAGCACGGCTTCGAGGCACCATCTGTGTCTAGGCTGTGCGGCCGCTGCCAAGCATGAAGCCTTGCAGGAGACAAGGCTGCATGCATGGGAGCTTCACAAAACCTGGGGCGCAAAACGCAACCCAAAATATGCACGTTATCCAGAAACACCTCCCCGTATGTCCCGGTGCAGGGTGGGTGTCCTGAGTCTTCTCGGGTTGCATGGGCAATGTTGTGTTTGGAACTCCACATTACAGCCAACACGAACGATGTTGTTGCCGACCCGTGATGTTGCAAAGTTCCGTTCGTTTGCTACGAACTACGGCTCGATCAAACACGTGCTCCGTTTCACGGCCATGCCGACCAGCACCAAGCAACAGACTGACAAAACGTCCACATGCACGGCAGTCTGAAAACTGTTCTTTGTCATGTCCGCCGAATTGACAGCCTCACGGTAAACCCACATCTTGTCGTGGATCGTTTCGCTTTCCGTTCGACGTTTCTGGGAGCCAAGACAGTTTCGCGGAACCCAACTTGCTGACGGGCATCTGACATCACCGCCATTCTGTCGAACGTCATTGCCGATCGCTTGGACGCTGCCAGGTTGGGATGCTTAAAATCCTATAGACACTAGGTTTGAATGTGCTGGAACTCAGAATGGTCTCGCGTTGGCCTGCTTGCCATGCACGATGCGAGCACCAGCCAGCTTCCATGACTTAACCACACCCCAAACCGAAGACTCCGATTCGAAGCTTTGCCTGGCCTGGACTTCTCCGAGAGTGCTAAAAAGTCAGATGCCTGAGCCAAATCCTTCCCTATATCCAAGAACCCGAAATCAGGCCTTCGAGCTCTTCATCATCGCCCACTACTACCTTACGCGGAAGATGGGCCGGGAGGCGATTCCCTACGCAGAGGACCGGGGCTTTAATTTCCCAAGCCTAAGTTTGACAGCCTTCGTACACACATGAAACACCAACTCCAGACGGTAGCTCGGGAAGGACGCGCTGGAGCTGTTCAAGGAGGTGGGGGTTCAGAAATCAGTGGTCCCTTTCCGGGCATCCGTATATTGAGGATCATCCTGCTGTTCAGGCTTTGTATTGCGTCCATTTCAACAAAGCGTGGCTAACCCAAAGCCCACATTCGTCTGACACACACATACATGGTGTGTTGCATTTTTCCAAGCTCTCAGGTTGATTTCGATGGTTCGGGCTGGACATCCAACGCCTTCGACTGCCTCACTCAAGCCTTCATTGCCAAGGCGGGCGGATGGCTCATGGATGGTTGCTTAGCTCTTTTTGGGGCTGTGGGGTGGAATAGAACGAGCCGACCTATTTATGCACGAACTACATCTCAGATCTGAGGCCTAAGCACCGATGTTTATGAGGCCCCTGTCGGCTTTTTACAAGGGCTCTACGTTTCTGTGACAAGGGCTCTGGCCTGGCACAGGGAGCCTGATCAAGAAGTCATATCACTCCTCCGGGTTCTCTAGGATATATGTATAGTATAAACTCCCCCAAACAGCAGTGTTCCAATCTTTCATGCTCGGTACATTGCAAGAAAGAGCCTGTAGTTGTAACACGCGATTGAGGCTTGAGGCTTTAGTACAACGCGCACATCCGATTGCCTCTGTTATGCTGATGCCGCGAAGACAGACAGATTACGACAAAGGAGGGCAGTCGTGGAAGAGACCCTATATCCTGCAAGGCAGCCACACCCACACCACCACCACCACCACCACCACCACCACCACCACCACCACCACCACCATCACCACCACCAGCACCACCACTACCACCACCACCACCACCACCACCACCACGACCACCACGACCGCGACCGCGACCGCGACCGCGACCGCGACCGCGACCGCGACCAGTAGTAGCAGTAGTA